AAGCTTCCTGAAATTAAAGCAATTCTATGTAGTGAATTTATTACCAAGTTTAAGAGACACATTATTATCAGTTTGTTCCATTAGTCACAATGAGTCCAGAGTGTAAACTGGCAACACAGGCACAAGGTGAGAGAATTCAGCCTGTATAAGCTGCCAGTCCATTGCACTGCACCATGCACACACACATTCACACCTAGGGGCATTCTAGCATAGCCAGTCTGTCTACCTGCATGTTTTTGGATAGTGGGAGGACACCGGAGAACCCAGAGGAAACCCATGCGAACACAGGGAGATCATGCAGAACTCCAGAGAGACAGTAACCCAAACTCAGGATCAAACCGGCACCCTGGAGCTGTGAGACAGCAATGAAACAATGATTCCAGATTATATTTAAAACCACTTAATTCATAGTTTAGTCGCAGAAGGAAAACCAGTTTTGGTCAATTTAGTGTGCATGTCATAACACTGCAAATGGCATATGAAGCAAGAAGAGGACATGTCTGTGCAGTGCAGGTCTGATATCATGTGTTCAACTGTCCTGACTGCAGGTTTAGAGACTTTCCATATGGTCTTAATATCTCCAACTAAATGCCAAAAACATGTTGTTGTTCTTTTGGCTGCTCCCATTAGGGATCGCCACAGCAGATCACCTTCCATTGTCTGCATATTGATTTGGCACAGGTTTTACACTGGATGCCCTTCCTGACGCAACCCTTGCCATTTATCTGGGCTTGGGACTGGCATTGAGAGTGCACTAGCCTGTGCAACCCCAGTGACTAGGGTTAGCACCCAGCATGGGGCTCAAACCCACAGTCCTGAGATCAAGAGTCCCATGCGCTACCAACTGAGCTAGCCGGGCACCAAAATGCCAAAAACATGTAAGTGTATCAAATGTCACTCTGGTAAAGACTTATATAAGCCACAGTTTGTTTTGTACTTCTAACATAATGTTAGACTACAGTATGATTTTGAAGATGACAGAATAATCTGTTTGTCCTCTCTTGAACCTTCTGCACCTCAGGAGAGTCAAATGGTACAAGAGTTCCAAGGTCACAGTAAAATTTGTTTAATTTCACTGACCTAATTTCTGACCTAATTTCTAAACAATCACAGGTTTCATAGGTTTTAAAAGAGAAAGACTACAATTTACAGCAATTATTATAATGATACGTTTTATCCCACAGGATTGTACCCATAGCCTAGCTTACGTCAGTGAGTGAATGCTGTCTCGGATGCTAGCTACTGAGACCGCCCCCAGCACACATTAACCAATTAAAGTTAGGCACTTGAATGTATTGCTATAGCGGTCTAGGTAAGTGAGAGGTTTACTGGTGGACATATAAATGAGCAACTAAAGAAAACATTGGTGATTTTTATGTTCATTCTTGGGGTGTTGAAAACCTACAAAGGAAACTGATGTAGCCTATTTGTCTTAATATATAACTAATAGTTATATATAGTTATATATAGTTATATATTTGTCTTAGTATATAATTATATAACTGCATGTATCTATGGATTCCAAACTGCTATGCTGTTTTTTCTTCATTTTTTAAAAATAGTTTATTCAGTGAGAAAGTAGCTTAATTTTTGTGTGTTCTCAATATGAGTGAGTAAATACGTAATGCAAATTGTCTGTATTGGTCTATTAGATTATTATACACATGCATTACTGTACATGTAAGGAATAAAACACAATGGAGCTTAATGTTATAAGGAAAATAATCAATATCTTGGGCTTTTATCACCAGGACATTCTTTATTTTCCAATGACAGTTCATCCCAAACTTAGACCACAGCAATTTAACAATGCTAATTATTGTTTCTTTATTAAAGATTGGCATACCATGTGTTTTACCCATTTATAGTTATGTTTATGTTATGTATAGTTACTGATGTTGTGCAACATCATTCCTGTTAATTCCTGTTATCACTTACACTATAACATTTACATATAAGAAGTTGTTCTCTTACCAGCCTCTCTTTTTTTCTCTTTCTTGAAGTTAACGAAAAAAAAAAAAAATGCAGCTTATTATTGAGAAATCAGAAAGGCCTCCATCCTTTCGGATTTTCTGGAAACTCAAAAACTCGAGTTTTCGACTCCAGTTTAAAGACTCCTTTAAAATAATAATAATAATAATAATAATAATAATAATAATAATAATAACACAAATTTTCTAAATAAATAAATAAATAAATACATAAATAAATTAAAATAAAAATTAAAATTAACTGAAGCATCTATCATACAACCTTATTAGCTCAATAAAAAGCTAGTGTGTGCTTCAGGTATAAAATTCCAGAAGAAGGCTAGAAAAGAAGAAACTAAGAAGGCTTCAAGCACACACAGACACTGACACAGACAGACAGACAGACACACACACACACACAAACACACACACAGGGTCTCCCCCAGGCTAGGCAAATAGAGGTCAGAGTCCATGTGGATGAACCTTTTACCATTTTTGGATGTCATATTATGTCTGCAGTGTGTGTGTGTGTACATAAGGACCAAATGTCTCAACACTATAAGAATATCTGTCAGGTTGATATAGATATTAAAGATATTTGGCTGCTCCCCACAAGGAAAAAAATTCCCATGAGGTAAATGCAGCTTTCATTTGAAAAATCGAAAGAGTAAAAAAAAGAAGCCATTTTGGTTACTGAGTTTAGGGTTAGGGTTAGTTAATTTAATTAATTAGCTGCATTAAGCTAATTAAGTTTCTCACAAGGATAGTAAGACGAATGTGTGTGTGTGTGTGTGTGTGTGTTTGAGCAAAACAAAAATGAATTCCTAAAACACTTTGTTCTCTCTATCTAATTGTACACCACAGGTGATAAGAGATTGCATATTCATTGATCATTTTGAACCTGAGTGACAGGAGAGTCCTCAGCGCCATCTGCTGGATATGAACTACAGCTACAGAAAGTGTGAATTTGATGGAAGAAGGGAAGAATCAGTAAAAAAAAATGCCCCGCCCCCCTCCTCCCCCCTCCCATGATGTGGGGTCCTGCTGTGAGTCAATGAAATTCATCATAGCCCAAAAGGAAAACACTATTAAATGATCACGGAAATCTATTTTGTCAAACCTCCTTTCAATAGGGTTCAAATCTGGAGATTGAGATTTTCATTGCAAAACACTGATTATGTGTTTCTTTAACTATTTCTATATTGTTTTGGATATATGTTTAGCTCATTATCTTGTTGAAAACTCCATCTATGGCAAAGTCTGTACCTCCTGGCAGAGGCAACCAGGTTTTGGGCTGAAATATCCTGATATGTAGCAGAATTCTTGATGCCATCAATCTTCATAAGAACCCCAATATGTATAACCCTAATGTATGTCTGGACAGGGTGCTCATGTGTCCAACTCCTGGCAAAGTTCCAACTGTTTCAGATCTATGAAACATTTTTATGGCCTTAATTATGCATAATGTTATTTGAGCTGCTGAAGTATACTATACTGCCAATAGTATGTACCTGACGATCACACCCATACATGCTTCCCATCCCATTCCAAAACCATGGGGATTAGTATGCAGATGGTCCCCCTTTGCTGCTGTAACTGCTTCTACTCTGAGCTGATGTTAGATGAAAAGGCTTGGTGCACAGTCAGCGTTCCAATTGATCCCAAAAGTCTTGAAGTCAGGGCTTTGTGCAGGTCACTCAAGTTCTTCTTCACCAACCTTGGCAAACCATGTCTTTATGGACCTTGCTTTGTGCACAGGGGCATTGTTCTGGGCTCTGTAAGAAACTCAGTGAAATGAAGACCAGGAGACATGGGTATATCTTCAGCAGAATTCTTTATTGAGAACATGCTGTTTAGTGCTGCAGTCATCAAGTCTAAACAAGGGATCTGTACATTGCGGTTTTATATACATTTTAGGGGGCAGACCTTAGAGGTGGAGACAAAAGCAGTCAGATGACAACCTTAATAAAGCATGCAAAGGACGTACGCAGTTATAGGAACCTGCCCCAGACTGTAGAGTTTCACCAGCCCTAATCCAATCAGCATAACGTTCATTATCGTAGAGATAAAGAAAAGTCTACACCTCAGGTATTGATGACCATGAATAATGGCCACCAATTCAAAGAATGGGGCAGCGGCACCAAGAGCCATCACAGACAAAAGGTGATAGCATCAGTTACAATACTTGTTTGATTCACAGTAAAGAGAACAAAAACGGGCAGAAACCTCCTACTAGAAACTTTGCTCAACATAATCATTCAGCTGATGCTATACACATGTAGGAAAACAGTGACTCTTATATTTGTATTCCTATAGCTCCTTAGTTCCAGTGAAAGGAAATTGCAACTGTAAGAGCATACAAAGCCATCCTATACAATTGTGTGCTTCCAGCTTTATGGCAACAGTGTGGGAAAGAGTCATGGTGTGATGGTCAGATGTCCACATGCTTTTGGCCATATAGTGTATCTTTATGTCTGTGGTGTTGGGGGCATGGTGAAATGCAGCTTGTGAATGGAGGGCAGAGTCTTGGAGAAGGAGTGAGCAATTTGATGAATGAGCATACACCTGTTATGCACCTGATTAACATGGCTCCTTTTTGTATGCTTTGTCTTGCAGTGAGAGAAATGCCAAGCATTCTCTCGGGTGCAGATCCACAGATCCTGTAGAGCTTGTGTGTGTGTGCACATGTGAATTTTGGAAGTTTTTGTTTACCTTGAAGTATTTCACTATTTTAGTATTTCACTTTTCAGTAAAGTATTTCGGTTCACTTAAGTTGGTTGCAAAGCTGAAAAGCCCAGACAAAAAGAAGACTAAAATAAATGTAATGCTGCACTCTTTCACACCTACCTCCAGAGTCCTCATTATCTTCACACCGACCTGGGTGCCACAATATCCATTACTTGATTTTCTCTTAGCCCTTTCACTCTCGCTCTCTCTCTCTCTTTCTCTGCCTTTCACTCTCTCCATACTCAGCTCGCTCAAAAGTATTGAGAAATACAAAGAAGTTAACTTCAATTTCTTGGTTCTAGGTCCTTGGAGGAATAGTGGTTAGACCTCAGCACGCTCACTGCTCTCCTAGGTTCGATTCCCGGCCAGGGAACCAACCCCAGTGGCTGGGGTTGCACACGACAGTGCATTCCCAGTGCTGGTCCCAAGCCCGGATAAAATTGGGGAGGGTTGCATCAGGAAGGGCTTCCGGTGTAAAATCTGTGCCAAATCAATATGTGGACCAATGATCCGCTGTGGTGACCCCTCACGGGAGCAGCCGAAAGAAGAAGAAGAAAAACAACAATGACTTCAATTTCTTGGTTCTGTCTTTTGAGTGGTAGTGTTCAGGTCTTGCAGAGCTTCAGTTCTCACACAGAGAAGGAGAATACATATAAGTGATAGGAGCTGTGAAAAATGAGTTTTAATTGCTTGTTAAGTAAACTTGAAGAATGTACTTAGAGTTAGTATTAGCTAAAAAAAAAACATTGCATTAATGTTGTATGTTGTATTAATTAAAGTAATCCTTTAACTGTATATTTTATATATACAGTATTTGACATGCTAGAGGTGAATGGTATGTTCCAGACACAACCAAGGGCAGGGCTTTTGGTAGTAAGAATGGGTACAAGGTGCAGTTGAAGGCTAACAGAGCCAATCAGGGCCATGAACTAAAAATAATTTTTACCTTTTCCTAGGACTGTAGTGTTTGTTTGTTTTTGGGTGTTGGTCTCTCAAATAAAAGACACTGGAGCTTACCTGGAGCTCCACTTTCCACTCTCTGAACCCACTCAAGTGTCATGGACCATCAAAAGTAGTTTTAAAATTTAAGGAGAATTAAAATTTGATGCCAATCTAAGCACAGTCCAATGACCGAAACTGATAGAGCTCATACCATGTTTCCCAACATGTTCTTTTATGTCATACTTGCACTCACCTGGTGCAAGTATATCATATGACTTCTCCTGGGGGTGTTTTCAAGGCAGCAACCTTATTGAATCTCGGAGGCCTGCTGTCAGGCCATCAAGGAGAAAGTGCAGAAGATGCTGTGGATGGGGATCATAGAGCCACTGGACAACTCTTGGTCCAGTGCCATAGTTCTTGTTCCCAAAACAGATGGAAATTGGATGTTTCGTTACGACTTCCGCAGTTTGAACAAAGTTTCAGCCGTTGACTCACATCTCTTATACAGAATTTATGACTTGAACTTATGAATTTACCCCGGGAGTCACTGGCACTACAAGGTACATGCTTCTGGACTTCATAGAGCACCAATGACCTTCCAGCTGCTCATGGACATTATCCATGGCATTAAGCAGCAGCCTACCTCAATGACATTGTTATCTATTTCTTCTTCTTCTATTTCAAGTTTTGGCCTGAGTGCCTGGTACAGGTAAAGGTTGTCCGAGCACTAAAGGAGGCTGGACCCAAATAACTGAGAAGTACCAGCTTGCTAATCAAAATCTCAATAAAGCAAGGTCAGAAAAATACAAATATATGGACAGATTTGAGCAAACCTTGGGAAAATCACAACACCTCTGAAGTATGCCACTCACTTAAAACCATTACCAGCTACAAGAAAAATAGTTCATAAGTCGCACCATTCTCCAAGCTATCCAACTCTCGTTTTGAAGGTAAAAAGAACTCAGCCGTCCTCTACTCCCCTCAATGTCTGTTACTCCTCATCCTGCACCTTTGAGGAACAAATCACATATAGCAACTTATGCTTCTGCTCACTGCTATTATTTTTCATTAAACCTTTGGCCCACTGTTTAGGTTCTTTGTGGAATTTGTCTTGCGATTTAACTATTAGAATTAGAATTAACTCATTTGAATTTACAGGGCTGTTTAACTTGGCAATATGGACATAACTGTATTATGGCAGGGCAGCCAATGCACTTTCTGGTAGGCATTTCTGGAAGAAAAGAAAAAAGTACAGCTAGCATAAATTATTTTACTGCAAAAACATATTTTATATTAACCACCATGTTCATAGTGTGATAAGTGTTTGCTTCTTAATGACTCTACTGATCCTCAACATTGCATCAATATCCCTTTGTACAAATTACACCTTGATTACTACAGTGAAGTCAACATTACATCCTCATATGGAAACTGTGTCTACTTTACATCCTCATATGGAGTCCACACTGTGGTTGTACGAGTTAATGGTGATGGGAGGCGTAGTAAGAGTTGACATATTTGAAGTGTCAATGTAAAACAATTATGGATTCAGATGTAGTAACACTGGCTACTTGTGATCACTGAATTGGCTTCTGACTGTTGGGCTAACAGCATCTGTAACACATGTATTTACACACTGGGGCAGTGATGACTCAGTGGTTAAGGCTAGCTGCTATTATGATGAGGAATTTAACCAAACCGATTATCTAATTTTCAGAATTTGAAAGTCAGTACTTTACCATTTGTGCAATACTCAGTCTGGCAGGGAGCTCTAGTCCAGCAGCACTCATAATTTGTTGTAAGTCACTCATTCATGTTCTGTAGTATAGAAATACACAAAAAATACACTGCCTGGCCAAAAAAAAAAGGTCACTGTTTGGGTTTAAATAAGCAAATACTTAAGAGCCTATGACTGGATCATTACTGCAGTGATTAATATGTTTCAGCTGGCAACAGTTCTTTTAACCTTAACTAATGCAGTGTGTAGCTTCTCATTTCTTAAACAACCATGGCAGATTACGTATCCCATGGTCGTGGAAAAGATGTTACTGAAGGGGAAAATTGTTGGCCTGCATCAAGCAAAGAAAACAACTAAGGAGATTGCTGAAATTACTGGAACTGGGTTATGAAATGTCCAGTGCATTATTAAAGCCTGGAAGGATAGTGGTGAACCGTCAATTTTACAGCAGAAATGTAGTCAGAAAAAAATCTTGAATGATCGTGATCAGAGATCTTTAAAACGCTTGGTGATGTCACATCGTAAAAAAATCGACAGGAGAACTCACGGCTATGTTTAATAGTGAGAGTAAGAGCATTTCCACACGCACAATGTGATGAGAACTTACAGGATTTGGACTAAACAGCTGTGTGACCACAAGAAAGCCATTTGTTAGTGAGGCTAATCGGAAAAAATGACTTCAATTTGCTAGGGAGCATAAAGACTGGACTGTGGAGCAATGGAAAAAGGTCATGTGGTCTGATAAAATCAGATTTACCCTATTCCAAAGCAATGGGTGTGTGAGGGTAAGAAGGGAAATGCATGAAGTGATTCACCCGTCATGCATAGTGCCTACTGTACAAGCCTCTGGAGGCAGTGTTAGGATCTGGGGTTGCATCAACTGGTCAGGTCTAGGCTGAGCCTCATGAAGTCAAATGAAGTAAAATGAAAATGAAGTCAGCTGAGCACCTGAATGTACTGAATGACCAGGTTATCCCGTCAATGGACTTTTTCTTCCCTGACGGCACAGGGATATTCCAGGATGAAAATGCTAAGATTCATCAGGCTTAACTTGTGAAAGAGTCGTTCAGGGAGCATGAGGAATCATTTTCACACATGAATTGGCCACCACAGAGTCCTGACCTCAACCCCATTGAAAGTCTTTGGGATGTGCTGGAGAAGACTTTACGGAGTGGTTAGACTCTCCTGTCCTCAATGCAAGATCTCAGCC